ACGAAAAAAGGGGTTAAACGAAGGCAAGAAAAGTTAGAGAACAATGTTTTAACTTTGCGCGAGCCACCTCCTATAGCAACTTTTTCCAACGAGGGAAATCTTCAATCTCCAAGCAAGAACAGCTTCAACGCCTGGCTCGCTAATGAAGCTGTTCGTATTTACTTTTATTGACAAATTCGATCTTTGTTGAGCCCGTCTGTCAGATTTCGCAACGAGTTATACGAAAATCATGCCAATGTTGCCTGCGCTACGTGCCAGCGCCACGAGGTAGCCAATCGTTGTTCGAAACGCGCACTCGCCGACTAACTTCGACTGGTTTCTCGCGTTAACGCCATATTTATCCCTCGTCCAAGAGATTCCTCGTGGGAATCAACACGGGACATCGGACGCACAGCTATACAAGTTGCGTGGCAAGTTCTCGTACAGCGGAATAAGAAGCCTGAAATACGAAAAATATCCGAACACGTTAGATTTAAAAAGTTTCATTAGCAAAATCTTTCATAAACGTATTTTCGAAATATTTTCGCGAGTTGCTTCAACGAGCCACTGCTTCTGTTCCTTCTCCCCAATTTTTAATTGTAAACGATTAACATCTTGCTGCAATTAACTTCTGCTTTGAATTATCAATGCTTATCTTTGAGCTTTAGTATTGCTAGATTGATCGGCGAGATGATAGGAGATGTCATTTTCTGATAAATATTTGGTATAAGAGGAACTGGAATTGGATAGATTATTATTATTATTGTATCTTAGTATTAGTTATCACTAATAAGTTTGCCTTTGATGTTATTAACGACAAAAAGAATTTCGATGGTGCAGCTTTTCCTCTGAGATTTTTTAGACCTTTCTGTAATTTGTTCTCAACCTCTTGCGCTGGAATAACGCACGTCGAGAATATTTGGCTCAAAATTGCAACATTTTCATAGTTTTAAGTATATTTAAATGTAATTCAGGCAAAACAAATGACAAGTTTATTACTTCTTAATAATTTCTATCCAGTGACGTTATACCGACGAGTTCAAAAGAAGAAGAAAGCGACAAATTATTGTATACGGTTCGGTCACTCGTTACGGTCCGCGCAACCAGCTGCCAGAGCAAGGGGTTAAGAGGAAGAGAAGTAGAAGAACGATGAAGGAGCTATTTAGAAGACGTAGTGGTGATTTTGCGACAAGTATTTAAGACAAGATGGATCGGAATGATGTTTATCACTGGCTAGATTATTATTATTAATTATTATCTTTCGTATTATTAATGAACTTCACCTTTGATATTTTTGAGACTCCTTGTACTTTGTTCTTCAGAGGAAGAACGGTGAAGAAGCTATTTAAATGTAGTTGATTGGTGATGTTACAGTAAATATTTTGATGAGAGAGTGTGGAATGATGCCGACCGTTGGCTATATTATTATTATTAATTATTACTAACGCTCATCTTTGATGTTGTTAACGAGAAAAGAATTTCGATGATGGAGCTGTTTCTTTGAAATTCTTGGGATTCTTCTGTCTGATTCGTTTGTGAAAATCATTCAGAAAAGTGGAAGAACAGTGAAGAAGCTGTTTAGAAGACACAGTATTGGTGATTTTGTGACAAGTATTTAAGACAAGATGGATCGGAACGATGTTTATCATTATTAGATTATTATTATTGACTATTATCTTTCGTATTATTAATGAACTTCATCTTTGAAATTTTTGAGACTCTTTGTACTTTGTTCTTCAGAGGAAGAACGGTATATTGAATATAGAAGGTAAAATAAATAATAAATTTATTACTTCTTAGTAATTTCTATTCAGTGATATACCGATGAATTCAAAAAGAAGACGAATTATTGTATACGGTTTGGTCACTCGTTATGGTCCGCGCAACCAGTTACTAGCGTAAGAGGTTATAGCCACCACGATTAACCCTCGAGGAGATTCCTCGTTTATGGTTTTCCCCGTGCATGGTCGAAACGAAGAAGATCGGAGGATTTAACAATTTTAATTTTAACTTTGTACTTTCAACATCGCCTATTGTCCGATCATTTATCTTTACCTACTCAATTCGTCGATTCATTAATCGAATTTTCGAATCGGGTTTCGATTTCGAAGAACTAGATTCTCGAGTGTTTGACATTATCGAAATTTTCTTTCGTTTCGAAAGACACGGACACGCAAGGCGGAACAGAGCGTGTCTCGCGTTTCCTAAATCGGGGTACGTAGCCATGAAAGTTTCACGAGACAATTAGGAAAGACGCGGTTAGACGACTCCATTCATGGCGTCTTCTTCGAGAATGTACAAGACCGCTTCCGGTTTTAACGGACGAACTTTGGGAACGTGTGCCTTCAGCTAAAATCGGAGGGAATGATCGTGGAAACACAGGTTTTCCATTAATTTCTTACCGAACTTGTAATCGATCTTGTAATCAGTGAAATGCTGCATTGATATTTTATAGTTTAACCGACGTCAAAGAAGAATCGTATAATCGCTAGAATTAATCAATTACTTTACAATGATCGCGAGAGAGTAAATTAATTTGATAAATAAATTTATTTCTGTTGATGTTTAAAATACGACTGTCGTACTTTGTGAACGTTTTTTAACAAAAGAAATGAATTAACTTGATGTAGCGGACTCTAATAATGGATGATAAACTTGAGAAACTGTATAAAAAATGGTTCTTTTTAATGGCAAAACTTCAAACTTTTCTTTTTTTAACACAATTATTCCTTTTCAAGATATTGATATAAACTGACAGTGTGTCCAATAGCAAGTGAATATTTAAAAATTCGTTCTCCGGAAGAAATAATTTTTCGTCCTTTTAACATTTTCAAACGAAAATCGATAAAAAATATATATTTCCTTTCACACTCGAAGTTTTTAAAATGAATCTGTTAAAGGTTAAACGTAAATTTAAAAAAAAAAGAGGGAAAAAAGATCAATCGAGAGAAGTAATTGCTTCAATCTCGCTACTTTTTCAGAATTTAATAACATACGGAAACGCAGCTGAACTAAAAAAAAAAAAAAAAAATTCGTTTTACACCGTATTGCAGAGTTTTCTCATTACTTTATTAATAAAGTTGTCGTCTAATCGATTTCAATTTCACGCGGCGTACACGTTGTAACGAAATGTATTTTATAATATAAACGTTCGTCGGCCACGTCGCAAAGTTATAAAAAACCACGTCACTTCTGACGATACCGGATGAATCTCTTTTTCATAGGAAATAACACAGCGTGACGCTGGTTCGTGATTAAAGGATAAATATTAGTAAGCACTCGAAAATGAAATCCATTAGGTACTTGAAGAATTATTTCCCGTTATGTATTAATTTACTGTGAATTATTTCCTGCCATGTATTAATTTACTTTCTCATTACAGTAATAGCGAACGATTTAGTGAAAATGAAAACACAGTCGATAAACGAAGCTCACCTGTATTTTTAATCGAAGTGATTTTTAAACGTCGGAAAATGTTGGACCTTTGTACCGTACTGACGCTGACATTAATTTTATAGAAAATTAAATGCTCTATATATTTTTTATAATATCCTTGTACTTTTCATTTTGTCTCACATTGAAATCATACATTGAAATCATAATATATTTTCATATTTTAATTTCGTACTTTATGTATTTTATACATGCGTGTATGATGTATGGGAAAGCATGACAAGTCCTTGTATAATTTGTTTGATAATAAATTAGCTTCCCTTTCTATCGGTCAATATTAAAAAAGTCCTAATTAAGAAATGCACATTGCACGAAATCTATGAAAATGACGCAATCACCGTGTATTCAAGATCAGCAACAAAACTGAATAATTAAATTGGAAAATAATTTGTAACTCCGGGCACGTGCGTGTTTCATTTAAAGTCTAATTTCGTATAAAAGTTCTTTTACCCCCGACGACGAAGTTTAAACGAGAAAATATTAAATCTGGATTTCAAGTACGAGCGATACGTTGGAATCGAAAACGGAGAAAAAAGAAAAAAAGAAATTCTCGGTAATAATTCCGTTCTATCGTAATTTGCCTGAACAACGGAGGAAATTTTTTTCGAGAAGAATGCGTCTGATTTCGCGAAAACCGTGACTTTAAAAGCGCCCGACCGAACGGACGAGGAATTAAAATTCATATCCGTTCGAATTAATTCTCCTTTCTCTAAGATAGATCTTTATTCCTGCATAAATTCAGCTTCGCTCTTTCCGCCCCTCGTACTTATCGTAATTTTACAGGCGATTCTTCATCGTTAGAGCCTCGTTGGAGAACGATATTAAGATAATAACTGTAATATTTTGCAATGCCAGGCATTAAACAACCGTGAGTTATCGTTCTAAATAAACTTCGCCTTAGCCTCGAGATTTTCATCCGCCGGCTAAATCAAAAAACAAATGCCTCGATATTAGAAACGGGAATAGAGCGAAATTGGTAGCATAAAATGCAATTCCCATAGGTATAGTATAAAAATTATCTGCAGTTTAGTAGTGAAATTTTTCGGAATTAAAGGTGTTGTTTTGAAAAGACCAAAGGTTATAAATCATCGTTTCATGAATCAATTACACATATATACGAAAAGAATTTTTTACGTAATATTTAAATGAATTATCAATCTTATCAAAGTACCAGTTTCCTTTGTGTCGAACGTCTCAATATGAACTGACACTTTAGAAACAAGCGAATACCAAACAAATCGTTTATTTTCGTACAATCGTAATTTTTTAATAAAGAAAAAAAAAATCTTTGCCAAACGATTTTCTAAATAATAATATTTAAAATTCCTAATTATTCAGTGTGAATATTTCTCAAATACTATAAACTTATTTAAATCTCTTACTTAAATCCCACATTAATCTACATCTACTTAAGACACGAGGCTATCTCGATGAATTTCTAAAAAAAAAATTGCTTACCATATCGTTAAAGAATTTCCTACGAAACTAAAATTTAAAATTGTCACGTTGCCAATTCCAATTTCGGGACCAAAATCCCGAAATTCTTGCTTGAAACCTAGAACACTCACCAGGAGGGGAAGGAAATGCCAGCAGATCACCAGTTTTTCATAAATTTTCGACGAAACAATCGGCCAACGATTAGACTGCTACACGTCCAATGGGTTTATTCAGCGGAGATTGAAGCGTTTCGTTGTCGAGTACCAACGGCGCGGCGCAAGCAGCGCCTACATAATTACGCGACTAGGCTTAATTACTCGCGCGATTGTTACGGCTGATGATCTTTTTGTCCGTCACGACGTTTTAATTGACTTTATGTTATCGATTATCCGTGTAAGAGAGCGTGTTCCACGGCTCGCGTCGTCGGGACTGTTCGCCGGATGACTGACGCGCGTAAATTGCTAAATGGAAAAGTTTTGTTGATCATGGCCGGGGCTCGACCTGCCCTTATCGTCATCGATGTTATGACTGACGGTTCGTTTACGATTCTCCGCGTGAATTAACATTAGTTCCGTTGTCGTTCTGGTTTTCTTTTTTCTTTCCTTTTCTCAATATTGCCAGAAACGCAAGAAAAATGACGTGTTATTTTTCATAATGGATTTCTTATATTTCTGGGTGAGTAAATAATTTCATATCATTGACATTATTTATGTAATTATTTACACGCTATTCACATTATTTACGTTGTACAATATTGTCCCAATATTTATTTTTATTAATATTATCTTAAAATCTGCTATTTAAGCAGCAGACGTCGAGCAATTTTTGACACTTTGTTGCGAATTACGGTAAAATTTGAAATTTCCTACAAATTTCTTTTTCGGTGAAAGTTCGATTTTTGTCAAGAATCGGCCAAACTTGGTAGTCGTGCCTTGTATCGCACTCTCCGCTACTAACTTCCCACGTTAGCGGGAGTTTTACTTGTTCCAAAGAAGAAAAAAGAAAAAGAAGAAATACGACACGGACTGCAACACAGTCAACACAGTCCCATTTACTTTTCTGCCCCGGCAAAATTGATCAACGTACACATTTTCGAACAGCTTAATTAAGAAAATTGCTAATCATATTGGCATAAGCGTGCAAATTTGCGAAATAAAGCCCTCATAAACAATTAACAAGATTGAAGCCCTATGCACGGGGAAACAGAGAGAACGGGATCGTTTAATTATAAACGAGACGAGGCTTACTGAAAGAGAGAGAGAGAGAGAGAGCATGCAATTATCTGATAGAAAGAGGATTGGCCGTTTCATTGATCGCCTCGCGTTTCGACTTGCTGATTCTTCGTGAAACGCATCATCGGCGGGACGTTGCGTCGAAATATGAGATACGGGAACGCGATTAACGTTGACAGGTGGTCTCCTTTCTCTCGTCCAGCTTTACATTTTGTTAATTTTCTCAATCGTGGTACGATATGGACGACATGGAGGAGGGCGGCGCGTTTTCAGCGACACACGATCGAAATGATTCCGCGGCGGCTTACTCGAGTTACGTTAAAAGCCAGTGTAAGTGATGCAGCTTGGCTAGGCATTCGTTTCGTTCCGCCCAGGCCATGTAATATTCATATTCATGAATGTGTAACGCGGGTAATTTGTAGAGGAATTAATTGGATTTCTCTGTCAGCTCGTGTCGACGGCGTGTACACACATTTCGTACAAGAGAAGTTTACCTCCGAATTATCGCAAAATAATCTTCCTTTTGGGAGAAAACATTGTTCGACTGCAAAATATTGATGAGGGAAGAACGTTGACGGAGACAGATCTCTCGAGGGACATTGGAATTTCATTCGGGATTAAGGTCAGATGAAATGGAATGAAAATTAAACTTGCATTAGAAAATCCAAGGAATTAAGAAATTTTGTATCGGTGAGAGTAAGTGAAAGGAATTGGAATGATATTTATAATACGACGAAAAGCACGAGGCTTGCAATTGTAAATTATTTAAATTTTCCAAAAATTCCTCATTGTAGATTTGTGAAGTTTCAAAGATTTAAGAGAAGTTTAAGATTTTAAATATGAATTAATCGCACAAACTTTAAAGTCTCAAGCTCTAAAATCAACAAGTCGGACATTTTATTGCCAGTGTGATAATTTTAGTAGATATCGATATAAATACGAATGTTATTTATTCGATTGTCGTCAATTCTGGTAAAATCAAACAAACCTTTAAATTAACATCGTTCAGTCACAGACAATTATAATTTACATTACGTAAATTATATTCGTATTTTATATTCTCCGTGACCAGTGAGGAAATTTCAATGAAACATTCCAAAATTAAAAAGGTGAACACCAAACTGCTTTATTATTAATAATAAACAATCCCTCGTCAATTTTCAATTTTTCTCTCAGTCTAGCTGTTGCATCGTGTCAGGTGTAAAAGCGTCGGCAACATAATTTCTATTTGCTAATCGTTCGTCCCGTTCGAAGAAACAGAAAATTAAAAATATCAAGTTCACGTTCCACAAAAACTGTTGCAAAAGTTCCTTATCCTCTCGAGCTTTCTTCGAAACCACAATTCGACATTACAACTCAAAGCGTTGTAATCCGTCAAAAGAAGAGCGTAATAAATATTTGTCGTAGACGAGAGAGAGAAAGAGAGAGAGAGAGAGAGAGAGAGAGAGAGAGAGAGAGAGAGAGAGAGAGAGAGAGAGAGAGAGAGAGANGCGTATTCAAAAGTGCAATCCCGTTATTAACCGCATTTATCGAGATTACTCTTTTACTTGCGTGACCTAACTCGATTTTTTCGCAGCGCGCGAGCGGTAAACGCAGCGTCGAAATGAACGCTCGTGAAATTTCTACGCGCGCGCGGACGCTGCGCCGCTGCTTTCCTCTCGCGTCGTAAAAGCCATCGTATAAACGCGCGTCGTAACCGAAACCCATTTTAACCCGGTCGGTCGCTCTCCTTTTTATACGCGTCGTAGATGGCATAACGAATGTTAGGAAAAGGTAATACGTAGCGTTTGTACCCGTCGGCGTTGTTAAAGGCGGCATAAACGCGAACTCTTTGGCCGTCATATTTCTGCCATATTGTTCGATATTTACCCTCTCCTAGGGGAGGAACATTTCGTGCGCTTCTGCTAATTTCCACCGATATTCGAAACAAAGTGGCGACTTCTCAGCGAACTAACGAGTCGATGATACGAAGTTGGAAATCAACCTTGGAGAATTATCGTAAATTTTCATGGGAATGAAGATATCGTGCAGCACAGCAGAAAAATAAATATGCAGTAATTTTGGATACATGTAGAGAAATCTTTCGCTGTGTTTCGGAAATCAAGTTCTTCATCTTCCCCTCTTTATTTAATTAAACTCGTGCTCGTCTTCGTACGAGTGTTGTGAATTTAAACTCTCATTACCTAATAATAAAGAGTAGTCAGTCGAACTAGAGTTACAGACTCGGTTAAGAAACAGTGAAAAATGATATTAGGTGCTGTTATATATTTCTTTGAAAACAGGCTACTAACTTTTCATTGCAGTGATACGTCGTTCGAGTGTACGAAGAATTAAGAATGACCGGAGAACTTTTTAAAATCGACTTGCCAATAATTTTACCAATTATTTCAACGTCAAACTCTTAAATACACTGTTAATAGACAGCTTAATAACACTGTTAACACTGTTAATAAATAACTCTTAATAGACACTGAAATTTGCATAATTATTACATGTATTGAATAAAACATCAAATTCAATTCTAATTGATTCGTGTATCGATAATAACAAAAACATGTATGAAATGAAAATACAAAATGATAGAGAAATAGGGATGAATAAAAATTAGTATCGGTTTTTCGTCGAGAACTCTGTAAAGATACTCCGTGACCAAAAAAAAAAAAAAAACAAAAAAACAATTTTTCGCTCCTTTTAATCTCCTTCCCATCCCGCCAAAAAAAAAAAAGAAAAGGGAAGAAGACTGAAACCGACGGTGAAAAAGGGAAGCAGAGAAACGAGCAAACACTATCGTTTCCATAAGCAACGTAGAAAAAAAGAAAGCCACGTGTAAACAAAGTCATCAGGGCGGTGACTTTTCCCTCGCGATGCTCTTTTTCTTTTTCTCTTTTCTTTTTTAATCTTCTGGCTTACTAGCAGTTCCTCCCTTCGAGCAACCAGCTTTTTCCAGTAAGCGATTGTTCACGCACCGACGGCTGTGAATTTCGCGTGCTTTCGCGTGTTTTCGTGTAACGCGACTTCTTTTTCTTTTTTTTTCTTTTTTTTTTTCTTTTCTTTTTTTTTGACGCGACACGCTGCCTCGCTCGTGCACGCATTCTCGCACTGTATTTTCCACGGAAGAACAGCTCCGGAACACGTCTGAGAGACAGAGCGGAATTTTATTCGCGGATCAAAGTCGCGTGCGATTACGCAGCTCGGAGAGTACTTCATGGGGGCTCGTGGACCATCAAACATGAACTTGTACACGTTTTGAATTACGCGCGTTACATCAAACAGCCTCTTATTTTACAACTAAAGAATTTCATTAAAAATTCGTTTCAACGTTCCTTTAACGTTATTGCCCTTTACGTGCTCTTTCTTTCTGAACGTTTTCTACAGTTTATCCCAGTTTGCTTTTGTGCGTTTCTTTATGTGTACGCGCGTATTTCATGTGCAGCCGCTCGTGAAATTATCCGAACACTTATGGGAACCTTTTAAGAATACGTGTAATATACGCGCGCGTTGTACGATATAATTACGTTGGGCGCTTAATTGAAAATTTGTCTCGACCCTCGACATTATTGCCAGTACTTTTGTCAATATTTTACACGCGCTCCGTTTTTTACATTTTACGTAAAATTGGAAGTTAAAGTGAAATTTTCGGAACCAAAAGAATAGCTCTATTATTCTCAAAGAGTTCCATTATTCCTTCTTTTTCTTTATCTTTCTCTTTCTTTCCGAAAAACTTCATCAATGTGTAGGACCAATTAAAACGACATTTTCAATTGTCGAATTTAAAAATTCCCTTGTTTTACAATTCTCACGTAATAACACATGTAGAACAGAACTTGAAATTTTCGGAACCAAAATATAGTTCTCTATTATTCTCAATTTTTCTCTACCTTTCTCTTTATTTTTATACTGTCTTTCCAAAAGATTTCATCGATACGTACGACCAATATTAAAACGACAATTTCAACCATCGAATTTAAAAATTCCTTGTTTCCCAATCCTCACGTAATAATACGTTGAAACTTTCGGAACCAAAATATAGTTCTATTATTCTAAAGAAAATTCTCCTTTTCCTCTATCTTTCTCTTTGTTTCTATACTTTCTTTCCAAAAAATTTCATCGATATGTACGATCAATATTCAAACGACAATTTCAATTTCAATCGAATCGTAACAATACATCTAAAATAAAAAACTTTCCAACAGCGTATAAAAACTTTCA